ATCAACAACATGCCTGTTACAATCACAGAACATGCAAGATACCTGGGCTTATATCTTGATAAAAGGCTCACCTGGAAAACACATCCAAAAGAAGAGAAAAGAACTGGACCTGAAAACTAAGAAGATGTACTGGCTGCTAGGAAGAAACTCCAAACTCAGCTTTGAAAACAAAATACTCCTGTACAAAGCAATATTGAAACCAATATGGAGCTGTGGAATTGAGCTATGGCGAACAGCCAGCCCGAGTAACATTGAAATACTCCAGAGATATCAGTCGAAAACCGCAAGACGAATACTAGATGCACCGTGGTACGTACCCAATGATACCACCCACAGATATTTGAATATCCCCACCATCCGGCAAGAAATAGGAGGAATATCAGGACAATATCACTCAAGATTACAAGCACATGTAAACCCTCTGGCCACAGGGCTGCTGAACAATGGACATACAAGAAGACTGAAGAGATCCTTACCCCTCGACATACCGGATATATTCATGAGTGGATCATAGTGTTAAAATAAAAAAAAAATAAAAACTGTTGATTACTATTTATCAGATCATTTTTGTCATTAATGTTATAATCCGTTTGGACATGACCGATTCAAAGATTCTGAAAAAGGATGGACGTGAACTGATTGGTCGGTAACTCGCCATACTGGACTGATCACCCTTTTTATATAGAGGAATAACCAGTGTATGTCTTAGTTTTTCAGGAAAAATGTCTGATGCTAAAGAGTTATTTATTATGTGAATTAATAGAGCCAATATTTTAGATATAGTAGATTTAATAAGATGGTTCAATATTTCATCGTCGCCGCTACGACGTTTGGTTTTCAACTTGTAGACTCTTTGAGGAATCTCTTCTCGATCCGTTACAATAAACTTAATTCTCGACAATTATAATCTACCAGGAAACTCGAATTTATTGACCTTTTTGCAGACAATAAGAAGTGGGCAATTCGGCTCCAGTAGGCATTAAATTCATCAGCAACGTACTGGCTACCGCCTACAATATTTATATTGTTTGGTCTTGACTTCTCGCTAATATCATTAATTATTGCCCACGTCGATTTATTTTTATTATCTGAAAATGTTTGGGATGAGCTCAAACGACGGATTTGACGACGAGATCCTACCCCTGAGAATTTGGCTGAACTCGTAAACGCAGGTCTTCAAGAATGACCTACATATGCCAATAATTCACTGCAAACTTTTTTCATGGCATTCCAAGACGCTGAGGGATGTTAATCGAGATAGAGGCGGCAATACACGCTATTGAATCGGTAGTCGACGGAAACTTTACCTGAATTTCAAAATACATTTTTCAGAAATTTTCACCATTCTGATAAACTACTGATTCATGTTTTGCTTTAATTTTTATTTCGAAAACATTCTCATATTAATTTAAAAAACAATCATTTGAATTTTGATAAAAGTATGTAGTGTTCATAATATTTTTTTTTGATATTTATAGATGGTGCGCTAAGTTTGTCCATCCATCCTTATGCTTCAATAATATCTTGCTTGGTGTATGTAAAAATCTGATTTCATTTGGCTTTTTATTTTAAATATTATACCCATATTTAGGACAATTGTTTTATCTGTATTTGGCATAAAATATATGATGATGTTGTAATTGAAGTCACCGTTGAAAACGTGCAATAATTGCTTGAACAATTCTTTGAAACACTGTATGGTCTGCTCGTACAGGGTGATTCAAAATTGGCGTCATTCCTCCGCTGTTATAGGACTACAGAAAAAATAGTAAAAGAAATTAATTGTTATTAAAAACTGAGAAATTTCCAAAAAACTATATCAGGAATACGGCAAAAATGTTTTTCAAGGTAATATGCCTAATTAACATTGCGAAAATACCTGTTGCTTCGTAATTATTAAAAACTCCGGTAACCATGGAATTATACAGAGTGACAATAAGATAGACAAGGATAAACGGTAAATTCGACAAGCTTCGTTAACTGCGCAACGTACTTTTGACATGTCAACCTGTTCTCATAACCTCCAATTCTGCGGGGTTTGGTGTTTACATAAATAATCCATACAACACAAAACATTTGAATGGTTAACTGCAAACAAGCTAATGCCTGTGTAATCTCCTTATTATCCACTCTTATCAAGCAGCTTATAGTATTCAGTTAATTAACTCGTGCTCCATTTGTATATCCTTGTGCTGTGTGTATCGTACAAACGTGGTAGGAATGTAGCAGGTATTTATTTGGTGCCTGGGAAAGTGTCAGTTATTGTGCTCTGAGTGCCCCTGGAAAGCCCTGATTTGATTATGTCCAATACTTGTTTCTCTGCGCTTGGAACCCGAACATCGATTGCCGTCCACTGTCTTCCTGGAACCACTCTCTTCGCACTTTGTTGGCGTGAGTTTTTTCAGCTTCTGCTATGTTACTGAAGCATTTCCCCTGAACTCTAAGCGCATATCCGCAAATTTGTGAAAGGAAATTCAAAGTAAGTCACAGTTTGGCAAATTATTGTTATGATTGACAAGGCCTATCCACCTGTAACTATCTGTTAATGGCAAAAAAAATCATTGCCGTTGTGCCTTTACATCAAAAAATTGTAGGAGAGAACTTTTTTATACTAAAAACGATTGTAATTTGACGCAAAGATCGTAATTTTTCTTTTTGAATGCTTAAGTATTCCAATATGCTACCAATCAAACATGGGACCATTTCAAAATGTAGTGTAGTATTTTGAAGACATCTTCAAGAGCTATTGTAAACAGTTTTGGTGATATGGTATATCCTTGTCGGACTCCACGTGGAACCTTGATGCTGTTAGTTTTAGTGTCCTCGTCGATTTTCACATGAAGGGATGCGTTTTTGTATATATTTTCGATTATAGAGGCATACCTAGAGTCCATACGCGCGTTATCCATAGATTTTTAAAATATGACACTTTTCAATTGAATCGAAAGCTGTGTGGTAGTTGATGAAAGGCATGTGAATTGGTTGTTGATGTTATATTCGGTTGTTTTTTAGCTAAGTGTTCTGATTGATTGCAGATGGTCTATTGTGAAAAATCCGTTTCAAAATCCGGGCTGCGCCACAAGTTGGTATAGATCGAATTTCTGTGTTAGTCTATTTGTTAAAATCTTTCTATAAAGCTTATAAAGGCGCGATAGTAGGCTGATGGGTCTATAGTTTTCTACATTTGTTAAGTCCCCCTTCTTGAACAATAGTATGGCTTCGGCCTCGCGCCAGCTCTCTGGTATTCTGCCTTCATGAAGACATTTGTTGGAAAGAATTTGGCTATATTTTCTCAATAAAGTTCCGCCCAGTTTAATCTGTTCGGTCGTTATTCTGTCCTTACCAGGACATTTGCCGTTCTTCATTTCACTTAGTGAATTTCGCATTTTTTTCTTGTGATATCCGGTATGTCTTCCCATCCAACATTCAATATTTTCCCCATTCTATCCATTGGATGTGTGGACGAGTAGAGGGTGGCGAAGAATTATTCTATGGTTCTTGCGATGTCATTTTTATTTGTTACAATTCTGTTGTTTTTGTTCCTCACTTTCACTAATTGTATTCTTCCTCTTGATAATTTCGATTTTATCTCCCTCATACCGTTTTGTTCAACGGTATCCTGTGTCAATTTGGTGTTGTTACTTCCATTTGCTTTGCGCATTTCCCTTTTAATATTTTTGTAAAGCTCCCTGGTCTGATCCGTGTGCCTGCAGATTTCTTCATTGGTTCATAAGATTCAGAGTGTTAGCTGATAGTTTGTTGTTGGTATGTTTTCTCTTTGAGCATATCTTTTTTACGCTTGTATGGATCCTGGTTTTCATTTTCTCGGCGATTTCATCTATACAGGGTGATTCAAAATTGGCGTCATTCCTTCTAAGGGGTGATAGAGGCTCACTTGGAGAGTACGAGAAAAATATTGAAAATTTTTTTTTCGAAAATTTCTAGAAGATATTAACAGTTGAAAATCGAATTTCATCTTTGTTATTAAGCATTATTTTGAAAGTGTTCCATGTTTAATTGGTAGCATATTGGAATACTTAGGCATTCAAAATAAAAAATGGCTATCTCTTCTACAATTTTTTGATGAAAAGGCACAGCGGCAATGATGTTTCTTTGTAATTAACAGATAGTTACAGGTGGATAGGCCTTGTCAATCATAACAATAATTTGTCAAACTGTCACTTACTTTGAATTTCCTTTCACAAATTTGCGGGTATGCGATTAGTTCAGGGCAAATGCTACAGTAACTTAGCAGAAGCTGAAAGAACTCACGCCAACAAAGTGCGAGGAGAGTGGTTCCAGGAAGACAGTGGACGGCAATCAATGTTGGGGTTCCAGGCACAGAGGAACAAGTATTGGACATAATCGAATCAGGGCCTTCCAGGGGCATTCAGAGCAGAATTCGAGGTTATGAGAACAGGTTGACATTTCGTCAACAAATCTTGTTGAATTTACGGTTTATTTTTGTCTATCTTATTGTCAGTCTGTATAATTCCATGGTTACCGGAGTTTTAAATAATTACGAAGCAACAGGTATTTGCGCAATGTTAATTAGACAGATTACCTTGAAAAACATTGCTGCCGTATTTCTGATATCGTTTGTTCCAAATTTGTCAGCTTTTAATGACAATTAATTTCTTTTACTATTTTTTCTGTACGGCTATAACAGCGCTAGACAACACCTCCAGAGGAATGAAGCCAATTTTGAATCACCCTGTATTTAGGTGGGCGACAGAACTTATAGACTGTACTTTATTTTCCAGTTCTTTCCGATATTTATCTCTGTGCAATTCGATTTCATGTGTTGTAGGGATGCGTGACGGGTTGACTAACTTATTTCTTTCTGTTTGCAAGTTGAAGGCAAAATGGGCACGGACAAGGCGGTGGTCGCTACCAGTGTGTATTTTGCTTATTACTGATACGTCTCTGCATATTGTTCTTGCATTTGTTAGTATATAGCCTATTTGGTTTCTCGTAAAGCCATCTGGACTCTTTGAAGTTCATCTTCTTTGTTTTGGTCTCTGAAGGAAGGTATTGAGGCAATACATGTTCTTATTTGCTAGGAAGTTAAGTAGCATTTTGCCTCTGTTGTTCCGTTCGGCCAGTCCAAACTTGCCTATGTTTTCTGGGTCGTCTTGGATTTTGCTTCCTAATTTGGCATTGAAGTCGCCAGTAATAATGGTAAATTTTGTCCTATTCATTTTTAACGCTTTGGATATGTCCTCATATGTCCTCACTTTCTCATCATCTGATGTACTAGTTGGAGCGTATGCCTGGGTCTCTTGCATGGAGTACCTGCTGTTGAGACTTACGGTAATGTATATAACATGGTCAGACACTGTCTGGTTGCCTGTGATTAGATGTTTTATGGTTTTATTGATCATTAGGGCTATTCCTCCTAGATGATGGTTGATATCATTATTTTTTTGGAACAGTATGTGGCCGGATTTCAATGTGTTAACTTTTTGTCCCGGCAAACGTGTCTCGCATAGGCCGACTATGTGCCACCTGATATCCTTTAGATCTTCCTCGAGTTCCAATTGATGTCCTTTAGTTCTTCCTCGAGTTCCAATTCATGTTCCTCGGTTCTCATAGTTTTAATATTGTATGTTGCTCTGAATAATGATTTTCTGTTTATAGTTGTAGCTGAATTTTTGCTCCCCTCAGATTCCATGGAGGAGACTGCGTTTGCAGTGCGGGATTTTAAGCTTTTTGCTCCACCCGCCTGGGGACTATCCTTCGTTTTAAGACTCAGTCATATTTATTTTTCAGAATTCATTATTCTTCATTATAAGCATGTTTTTCAAATGGAAAGATTTGGCAATTTAAAACGCCATGCTTGCCATGCGGGTTCGCGAGTGTTAATTTCAGCCGCTCGTAACCTGGAGAACAGACGCCGTCTCTCTCTTTCTTCTCTTTGGAACATATTTATTTTCAGCTAAGTATACAAACTTCTTACTGTTACTTAATCTATGGATCCTTAGTGCTAACATCGCTAGAGTGTCTAACACTCTGTGTACCTTAAGATATC